GGAGGGGCGGGGCAAGGACCCCAGCTCACCTGTAAAATGGGAAATGATACAGTCCGGAGGGGAAAATAACACTTGGGTCTCCACCTGGCGTTCTGGATACACAGGCAGGCGCCCAAGGCAGGTGGGCCAGCCCTCGCGCTCACGCCGCTGTTAACGCTGCCAAGTGCTCCTGCTCTCAAAGCAAATATCCCCAGCTGCTGCGTGTGACCGGGCTCCCCGGTCCCATCCAGACTCACCCCAGCGGGGTCTTCCCTGCCGGCTGGCGCTAGATGCGCCCTCCGGCCCTCCCGCCGTTCTGTAAGAGGAAGCCACGAGCTGCGATGCTCGGAGGGGACACGTGAGAGCATCCCGCACCCCTTCCAGGAATCCGCGAAGGAAGATAGGCGCCCGCTTGCTAAGCCGCTTTTCGGCAGCGGGCACTTTAAACAGGCAGTCTCTGTAGGCGCTTCTGCTAGGCTCCGGAGCAAGGCTCCGGGGTGAAAGTCTCAGCCCACCCTCCACCCCGCAGCCACTCGGCCAGGGGGAGACCGCAGGGCGCAGCAGACCTCTCCTGCCTCCCCGCTGCTCCCCGCAGCAGTGTGTTTCAGTGGATCCACCTGTTCTGCGCCCCACTCTGTCTCTGGGGAGTCCTCTCAGCCCCCACCTCTGATCTGTACCCCAGTTCTTGTGTGCATAAATAAACCTTTTTATTTTTAAGAAAGAATAATCCTACAGCCTTCCCTTCCCCAAGTAAAATGGGATATTTAATCTTTGGGGACCCGCTAAGTCCAACGAGGCACTCAGACCTCTAAGGCAAAAGCAGAGGGTCGGGGCCGTCAAAGGCGCCTCTGCCTGTCACTGCCCCTGACACTGGCCGGCTGGTCCCTGGCAAGCCACGCGGAGCACTGGTCACCTCCGTGGCGACAGTGTGGCTGTGGAGGCCCGCGGTGGACCTGGCTGGGCGCAGGTGGAAGGGGAGGCCGGCTGGGTGGGCTCCAGTGTGGGGGTGTGGGGATGGTGGCCCGGGAGGTGGAATCCGTGGCTGTTGTTAGCAGCACAGCTTTGGGGAGAGAAGCGAACCTCGGCGAGGTGGAAAATCCCCAAAGTCTCGTTAGGAGCAGCTAAGAAGACTGGTTCCAGTGGCTGCAGACTGAGCCGAAAAGGAGCTCCAGACCTAATCTTCTGAGGAACCGCACTGTGCAGAAGACGCGTTCTCACCCTCGGACAAGTCCTCATCCACGTCAGGGTCCAGCTACGCCCCGAGCGGGGGTCTGGGGGCGAATGTCCACCCTAGTGCCCTTCAGAACTATGAGTCCCCATTACCCTGCAACAGGAGTCTGCTCCCTTCCCCCTAGGGGGCGCTCCTGCCACGCCC